GACTGTATCTGTGCTTGAGCTTCTCAGATTCCAGTTGCCTGTGTGTGGCCATTAAATTTTTAGCTGGTTTGTCCTTTGGCAAGACCAGTCCTGTGTGTGCTAACTTGGCAGATACTCCCAGCAATGAAAATGGTTACCACTCCCTACTTACTGTAGGAAGAGCTCATCCATTTCTGTAAATGACTTACAATTTAAATGAATCTGTAGTTTTGGGGTCACTTTTGGTAAAAAAATATAATTTTTTAGTGTTTCTGATACTTTCTTATTGTAGGAGTAAGGGTTTTTCCAACAGTCTTCTATATTCTAACCATAAGGGGAACCCTATACAGGTTACTAATAAAAACAAAAGAAGAGCAACTGTATTCTCATTTTGAACACAATTCATGCTTGTAGAAAACTTGGAATTACATAGAACATAATAAAGAAACATGAAGGAAGTATGTATTTTTTTTAACTGGATTTGACATAGTTCCTGTATCTTATTTTTGCTTAATCTCAAATTTCTACCATTCTGTGTCAAAAGTTCGACAGTATTTTACAGATTAAAATTATGATGCAGCATTTTGAATTATTAAAGCAGATATTTAATAATAAAAAGCAGTACTGCAATGAATGTCATAGGAGGATAGGTAGAAAGACACAGGAATTTGCACCTAGGATCTCAGATTCTAGAAATTCTGTTCCTGACTACTACACTACTGCACTAGGCTCCTCTGGCTTGTTTCAGAAGAGATGGAGAGAAATGCCTGCTTTTGCAGTGTTTCCTAAGGGTAGGACTTGGTTGGTGATCAGGTAGGGATATGGTGGAAGGAATAAACCAGCATGTTGATCAGTTTTTTGAAAGGTTTGTGAATGTGATCGCTCTCTATATTCAGTAAATGAGGTTTTTTTAAAGCATATGTTTAAGCCTTTTTTTGGTATAAAAACAAAATCGTAGATAATTTTAGTTCTTTGGGACTGTTTTTTGTAATTTGAATTTAAAGATTATAAAATGAAATTATTTTAAGGCCTTTAACTTTTCTGTCCTCCCATATATGCCTTTTGAAAGAATGTCTATTTTTTTATTTGAATGATAATAATTTATGGTTAATTTACATACTGAAACTTAAAAAAAGTAAAATATACATTTCTTTGCCATTAATTTTGCTCAAGAAATTCAAACTAATTTTAGTATTTCTCAAAAAGTTATAGATACTAAATATGTAAGTCACGTCAAAATGAATCCCATTTAGAGAGAACTTGAAGTTTTAAAATAATCTGAGCAAGAATTATGCAAGATATAAAACCACAGAAGAAAGGGTTGATAAACTTAAGTAAATGACATTTAAAACATTATTGCTCCATACCTTTAGAATGACCAGAATCTGAATTCTGGCAAGAAAGTGGAGCAGTAGGAACCCTGATTCACTGCTGATGGGAATGCAGAGTGAATGGTAGAGCCACTTTGGAAGACAGATTGGCGGCGGCTTACAAAGCTGCACATTCTTACCATACAATCAGCAGTCATGCCCCTTGGTATTCACCTAAAGTTGAAAATTTGCCTTACGTACACACAGAAACCAGCACTTGGATGTTTATAGTGGCTTTATTCATTAATTGCCAACTAAGGTATCCTTCAGTAAGTGAATGAGTAAATGAACTATGGCACATCCAGACAATGGGATGTTATTCAGCGCTAAAAAGAAATCTGCCAAATAAAGGCATGGAAATACATGGAACCTTAAATGCATATTACAAGTGAAACCTATCTGAAAAGGTGACATACCTGTATGATTCCAACTATATGATGTTCTGGAAAAGACAAAGACAGCTACAGAAACAGTAAAAAGATCAGAGATGCTAGGGGTTCAGGGGAGGGAGGGATTAATAAGCACAGAGATTTTTAGGACAGTGTGAGTGTTCAGTATGCTACTGTGATGGTAAATACATGTCATCGCACATTTGTCAGAATTTATAGAATGTACAGCAACCAAAGATGAACCCTAATATAAATTATGGGCTTTGAGTGATAATGTCTATGTAGGTTCCTCATTTGTAGTAAATGTACATTGTGATGTGAGACACTGATGGCAGGGGAGGTTGTAGATTTGAGGGTAAATGGGAACTCTTGTACATTATTAATGCTCAATTTTACTGTAAAGCTAAAACTGCTGTATAAATAATTTTATTAAAATTTTTTTATTTTGAAAGATAAACCAAAAAACTGGGGGAAATATTTTTAAATGTAAAGAAGTCTCATAATTGGTTTCTAGATTTAAAACCTCCTACAAGTCAAGAGGTTAAAGACAGTGCTTAATGGATAAATGGATGTAAAGAACATGAGTGCACTATTTATAACAAAATAAAAATAAAGAAAAATTTTAAATGTCAGAGTTGCCTCATTAAATCTTTTAAATTGTCATATGTCAAAAGGTAGTGATATAGTGTGAAGAAATGCTCATAGATTGTTGGTGGGATTAAACATCCAGGGAGGGTACTTATAAAAATTTAACCTCACATTCCTTTTGCTCAACATTTCCTTGTTGAAAAATGTATCCTACAAATATTTGCAAACTTGTATACAGGGTTGTGTGCACAAGGATTTCTCTAGATGTTTTAGCTGCAAGTAATAGAAACTAGCTTTAAATAGTGAGATTATTACTTCTTATAACTGCGAGTCCCAGACTTCAGTAGAAGCCTGTATAAATGAATAACAGATTAATCATCATTTAACCTGGCTCTTTTAAGTTTCTAAAGACTTCTGGTACCTAATACATTTTTATCTTAATTTAACTTCTTAACATTTTGTGATGTGATTATAATCAACTTTTCGTAATCTTCAGTGCTAACTTTTATCACATACGACTGGACTCAGCCGAAATTAATAAACCATGACTCTACTGGTCACTTCTAATAAGTATTTAATAGAGAGAGTAAGCAGTTAAAAGATATGAAAAATTGGGCCGTTTCCTCCATTTCTAATAGTGGCTCTGTTTATTTTATCTTAGTTTCAGGAAACAGCAGTGGGTTTTAGTTCATTGTTCTAAATATGTTTTGACCTTTCATAGCTGTACCTGTTATGACTTGCCAGCAGATTTTTCAAACTGAGGAACAAAAAAAGAACATAAGAACTTTGTTATAGAAGGCTGTTCTGGCTTCTCAAGAATCATCACCTGTTCTTTATTTTTTGATGCGTTTGTTTACGGGGAGGTTGCTGTTTTACCTGTGTTGCCTGGTGTTTTCGTTCATGGTTGTTGTGTGGAGAGGGAGAGATACACCCGGGGGCTTCTGAGCTTGTTCTACATCTGTGCCATTGCTGTAATTTTAACACTTGGGAGCTGTAGGTCTTGCTTTTTTGGGTAACATTCTCAAAATATGTAGAGGATGATGATGAGAAAACAAAGTGTATCCTACAGTTACGATTATTTAGCAACAGTTTACAGCAAACATGTTTCAAACTTTGCCTGAAATTGAGTGAAGTAAGGTCTGACTCTTTGTCCTCTGTCTGTGGTGTTCCTTCTTTTTCTGAACTTTTTGTGTTTGTGCCCCTTCCTTATTTTCTTGATTAGATTTCACCAGTTTACCTCAAACTGGAAGAAACAAATACTTTTCTAAGAAAATATAGCTTACCAAAACTGACTCCAGGGTGTAGAACTGTCTTAACAGTCATCTTTCATGGAAGGAGTAATGTCTTAGAATACACCCTAGAAAATTACTGATTTCACACAGGAGTTCTACCAAACTACTAAAGCATTTGTTGTTCCAATTCTGTTTAAACTGTTACAGAGCGTAGAAAAGACATAAAGCTTCTGGCTTGACTTTTGAGGCAGCATAACATTTATGCTTATAAATCTATAGATCTTTACTGCTTATGATTTTTTATGTAAAATTTCTAAATATAGAATTTTATCTCTCATCCTCAAAGCCAGCATCATACTTAACGGGCAGATACTAGAAGTATTTCTTTAAAGTTAAGAGTAAGAAAAGAATTTCCCCATCACCACTTTTATCAAAATGTAACATACCCCAAAGTGATTGATTAATTATGTCACATAGAAGTTTTTTAGTACTGTTTAATCAAAATTGGACTGAAAAATAAGACAGATAAATATTTGCATCCCATACCATGAAAGGACTAATATTGCTAAAATATAAAGAGCCTTCTGTAAAGCAGTGAGTAAAGTGATCAACACCACAATAGGAAATTGAGCAAAAGAAAAGAACAGACTATTTACAGGAAGGAAATAAAATATAAACAAATATCAAGCTGCTGAGTGTCATTTATAAGGGAAATGCAGATTAAAACTATACTTGTTAAGACCTTGTTCTCAGCATTGTTTATCAGAAATAACACATGAGCCTCCCCTCACTATTTTGTGACTGGGAGTGTAAACTGATTGAACCTTTGAACATGACAATTTCAGCAAAATTTATCCAAGTTTTGATTTGGCAGTTTCCCTTTTAGAGTCTATCCTTCAGATACAATTCAGAGTATGCAAAATGTGCAAGATTAGTTTCTCATTGGAATCTTGGTTCTTAAAAGCAAAAGATTGAAAATAACCTGAACACGCATCAACATGGGATCATAATATACCATAATGTAATGTTATGGATAGATGGATAGATGTGTAAGTAAATAGTAAGGAAATGTACCAGCATCTCTAGATGTTGATATAGAATATGTAATACAAAAGCAAAGTTCAGAATTGTGTTTACCATTTGTACATAAAAAGCAGGAGGCACAGAAATATGCTCATATGGTTTGTAGAATATTTCTGGAAAGGTGCACCAAGAACTGGCAACGTTGGATGCCTTTGGAAGAAGGTAACTTGAAACCAGGACTTTTTTCTATCTTTTATATATTGAAGCTCCTGAAACTAAATGTCCCATTAAGCATTTGAAATCTTGGCAAATTATCTATGTCATGATAATACAGCTAGATACAATAAATTTAGTTATTGGGTCAGAGGTTTTGAAAATACTTTCTTAAGCTGTTTTAAAATTGAATCCTTTTGTTTCAGGATCTCCAGCAGAATTATCTCCTACTACTCTTTCCCCTGTTAATCATAGTTTGGGTAAGTTGCAAATACTTTCCCCTACTGTTTTTACACTGTTCCACCTTTTTATTTAAATGTCCTTTCTGGTAATTATTTTCTGTATATAGGAGAAAGAGATCTCAAGAATAACAGATGATTGTTCAAATTAGTGCTTTTTTAAAAATGATACTGATAATGTGCCTCGATATTACTAAAACACCTTTCTCCTGGCACATATGAATATAAGAAGTTAATTTTTTATTCATAGAAATCATATGCATTATTCATGAGGAATTTTATGTCTTATATGGCTAGATTTTATTTATGGGTATATTTAGTTTCTATTATATTTTGTAATAGCAATTATTAATATGAGACTGTAATAAATATATAGAGACATATTGCTCACATATACATATGATATGGGAGATATATATGTATGATTGCTAATACATATATATTTGTATTGATACATGTGCATATGTATGTTTGTGTGTGTAATATGCACCTTGGTCTTCATTTTATACACTGTTTCACAATTTCTCTTCAGTTTCTACACATTGGAATTTATTCTACAAAATTGTCATTTTTTTCTGTGATATTCCTTTTGCATTTTAATCAAAGTTACAGCGCTTAAATATATATATATGGTCCTTATTTTCCCATGAAATATGTTGGTTCCCATGATATTTATATTGTTTCTGCTTGCATACTTTGTGTTGTATTACTTTTTGTTTCTTGTATATATGCAGGCTTTCTCTTTTTGTAATTGGGGTAACTCAGTGAGAATCTCATGTTAAAATGTCAAATGTCAAAAATATGTCATGTTTTATATCCTGTCGTGACAGGTTATTTTTTTTTTTTTAAATCTTTGGCTGTTGATGCATTAATCCCTGCTTTAGCTTTGTTCTACTCGATCCTACCCAAAATTAACTTTATAGTGCAAATTGACTTAGTTACATGTGGTGCAACTGGGGTAAAATTACTAGTAGAACAAGTAATCCACCATAAAATCTAAAAAAGATGTTTGAAGATTTGGATGACTTAAGGAGATAGGGGGAATTTGAGAAATTGAAAATCTGCTGTGATCTTTAGAATCTGGGGTTCGTGATGTAGATGTTAAGTCTGTTTCCTGGGCTATTGCCAGTGTAGGCTGGCATAGGACACGTAAAGATAATGATATTCAATCTATTCTTGGCTTGACATGGCTTGAATTGTTCACACAACATTTCTTTTACGGGTTTGTTTTTCCCCCCTGCCAGACTTGCAGCCAGTTACTTACTCAGAGCCTGCATTTTGGTGTTCAATAGCATATTATGAATTAAACCAGAGGGTTGGAGAGACCTTCCATGCCTCACAGCCCTCACTCACCGTAGACGGCTTCACAGATCCATCAAATTCTGAGAGGTTCTGCCTAGGTTTACTCTCCAACGTAAACAGAAATGCTACGGTAGAAATGACAAGAAGACATATAGGTATGTTTATTTTCCTTGTGTGAAAAACCAATGCCTTATACTCATAACGTGAGCACTGTGTGGTTTACCACATCAAGAGATTGTGTGCAAGAAAGCCTGCCTTCTCTCAGCTTAAGTGCAGTCACGTTGCACAGCTTCACCACCTTGAATAGTGATCCTGGTGATCCTTCCTCCGTCTGCGAACTTTTATCTTGAGTTTCTCTTTATTTGGCACCCTCGACACTGGGAAGTCCGTCAGTAAATATGTGTTAAAATTCCTTTGCTAAGCCTCTACCAGTCATAAAATTGTCATGTTCAGATTTTAGGATTGTAATTTTAGCAAATCATGATTTTTTTTCAGTTTGTTTACATCTCCTAGTTTTTTCTGTGCTTCAGTGAATTCATATATCAGATCTGCACACTATTAATCTGAAGCAAGATATCTAAAACAAAAACCACCATGAACTTGTTCAGGAATGGTTCAGAGAAGCTTAGCCTGTGGCAGCCCCAGGTGCCCTCTCTGAACGTGTATGAGGGGAGAGCTGCTCTCATAACGGCACTAAGGTGCCACTTGCCATTCACTCTCACTCTGTCGTGATTCTACAGTGAAGTATCTAGAGCCTACAAAGCTTGTGATTTTGCAAGAAGTTAAACACAGACTCTGATGAGAATTCTGCTGTCTTCAGCCAGACATTAAGGAGGTTTGCAAAGATATAAAACTCTTCTCACTAATTTTTTCCTTACTTTGGGAAATAGTTACTTTTCATAAACTTGTTTATGTTAATATGTAGTAAGTTTACTATTTTGATTTTCAAATGAATTAATGAATTTTTTTTTTAATCTTTAGTTTTAGCACACAGTATGGTAAGTTTGCATATATTTAAGACATGAACAGCAACATTGGGGGACATTGGGATTTTTTTGTTTGTTTTTGTTTTTTGACAATGAGGGAAAAAATAGTTTGAGTGCTACTAAAATAACTGAACATAATTCTCATCACCTTAAAGAAACTGCTTTTAATAATAGTGTGCTTCTGTTTTCATTAACCATTACCTCCTATGAAAAGTAATGCTGATCACTAAAGAGTCAGTGTGATACTGCAAAGTGCTCGTGACTTCAGATGTTAGTTGGCTCCATGTGAAATTTCTCAAATCTTGCTTGATGTATAAATTTTACATAATCTCACTGAGGTACTCGGATGTCTTGTAGGTGACAAAGGCCTCTGAATATTTACCCTTCTTTAACGAAAATAGTTCTGATTTTTCTATGTTCTCATTAGGGCTCTGTATAGAAATTTAACAGGAGGTTATCCCTACCATATTTACTTCTAAATAAGTAAGTTTACCCTGCTTTTTTACCCTACCTCATCTGAAGCTTGAGGTCCCCTTCCAAGCTCACAGATGATTACTACAGAGTTCACTTCCTTGAAGTTGTAGCACTGAGATCCTCATTTCCTACAGACTGTCCACTAGAGGCTACTCTCAGCTCTTAGAGGCCACCTGCATGCCCGCTCCATCTTCACAGTCAGCAGTGAAGACTCTGTTAAGTTCTTCCCCTCACACTTTGAGTCACTCTCGCCAGGACCAGCCCAGTCCCTTTAAGGCTTGTCACCTGATTAAGTCAGGCCCACCAAAGATAGTCTTCATTTCTTGGGGTCACTTGATTTAAGAACTATACATCTGAAAAATTACTTTAAGCACTACTTAGTGTTTGACTGAATAATTGAGAAGATAAACACACCAGGGATGAGAATGTTAAGTGCTGTCTTAGAATTCTGCTTAAAAAAAAGAGAGAATTCTGCTTTTCCCGTTTTTTTTTTAATCTTTGTATTTCTTATATTTTATGTATATTTGATCTGTCAAATTCTGAAAGAGGTATATTAAAATCTCCCAATATAATTTTTACTCACCTCATTCTGCTTTTGTAAATAGAGATCTGGTTACCACCATAATATATAGTTTGAGAAGGGGCAGGTGGTAATTTTTATTATTTTTTTTCTGAAGCATAGTGGATTCTTTAAAAAAAAATTATGTATTATAATGAAGGCATATTAATCTAGACATTAGTTAATTCCTTCAAATGAATTAAATTGCTTTATTCAAAAATATGGTTTGTTTGAAATTCTTTATTTTGCTTATTTACTTTTCTACATTAAGTACTTTTAATGAGCACATATTATCTTTACGAATCAATAAAATCATTGTTAAAAAAATACTTGGAAAACTATACAGTAGTATGTTTCAAAGTTAGATTTCAGAAAAGCGTAGCTATGGGAGAGATCATCAAGATACTTTATACCATTTTACTTTTCCTCTAAGAATCCTTCAGAAGTGATATTGAAGTAGTAAATGTTGTAAAACTAATTCCATATATATTTCGTTTTAGGAAGAGGAGTGCGCTTATATTACATAGGTGGGGAAGTTTTTGCTGAGTGCCTAAGTGATAGTGCAATCTTTGTGCAGAGCCCCAACTGTAATCAGAGATACGGCTGGCACCCTGCAACCGTGTGTAAAATTCCACCAGGTATGGATGCAACAATATAAATACGCCTATCATGTCAATTTGCTGAGTCTTTCTTTGCTATTAATTTTCGGAATCAGGAGATGATTTGCATGCTCATATTCAAATGTCTGTTGGAGAAGGAAATTGCAGCCCACCCCAGTATTCTTGCCTGGAAAATCCCATGGACAGAAGAGCGTGGCTGGCGAGGGTCCAAGGGGTTTCGTGACTTAGTAACTGCACCACCACCACCATTCTAGTATCTGTAGCTCTTTTAAAATGATTCTCTTATACGATCTTCTTCGTACATAATGTTTTTATATATTTTTTCAATCATAGGCTGTAATCTGAAGATCTTCAACAACCAGGAATTTGCTGCTCTGCTGGCTCAGTCCGTTAATCAGGGTTTTGAAGCCGTGTATCAGCTAACTAGAATGTGCACCATAAGAATGAGTTTTGTGAAAGGGTGGGGAGCAGAATACCGGTATGAAATACGTATTCAGTTCTTAAATTTCTAGAATGTAATTCTTTTTCTTGCACTCTTTGAATCTTCTGAAGTTTATCCGTATTTTCATTGAAGTTTATAGAGAGCAAATCTTTATGTAAAATAACAAAAGAAAGTTGGAGGCCTCTAGATTCAAAACTATTGCAAATTCCTATGCTGGCACTATAGAACATAGAATTAAAACGTGTATGGACAGGCACTGTAACAGAATGCAGAGTGTTAAATACTGTAAATGGCGTATTGGAAGGGTTATTATTCAGTAATAGAAGGGGTATTTGGGTACCAGGCACTGTGCTGTGTTTTAAATGCAGTATCTCATGCCTCTCAGCATATCTAAGAGTTGCTGTTTTTATTCTTTCTTTATAAGGTTGCAGTCTTTGTAAAGTTTAAAAAAAAAAAGGTCTACACTAAACATTTATTTGGAAACAGGCTTAGGTGAGATTTAATAGTTTGCTCAAGGACACGTTGTCGGTGGCAGAGACGGGACCTGAGGAAAGCTCTCCTTGCCTCTTCTCTGAGGACGGCAGTAGCAGTCACATAGTTGAGTTCTACCAGAAGCAGTCTGTCATCAGGGGGTGAGATCAGTTAGGCTGTTGCTAGGTTATACAGGGTTATACAGTCGATTGGATTCCACATCAAAGAAAGGGGACAGTTCATCAACATAATAATGAATAAAACTACAGGTAAAATACTCAGTCTTTCTCCAGTTCACATTACTTACTGTCTGAATGTCTGCTTAAGAATAGATATGCATGTGGTATAGTAATAATACTCCTGTTCATTCAGCAGTTTGGGCCCTTCTTTGGCTTTGTTTCATTTGAACTTGATCCCTTGTCTTAAATTTTGAGGTGTATGACTTTTGTGATGATGAGATTTGAGATCTACTGGTTTGACAACTTCTATAAAAATATACGATGTGTTATATATTTGTATCTAAAGTGAGACTTGTCACTATTTTGTCCAAGTTATGTTAGTGCAAGAATTCATTTTTTGACTTCGCTGTAGCTCTCTTTTGTTTTAATCATTTCCCCTTTGAGATGGGATAACTTTAAACAATGCTGAGTTTCTTTTTTTTCATTTGAACTTGGATTGAGTTGATATTAAAATTAGATTCAGATAGTACTATCTGATATCAGTTTATTAGGTCACACATTTTTTTTCTCCTTCGAAAGATTATAATGTTGTGGAACATGGTAGAAATGGAGTGGCATTAAACATGAATCACATAGGTCAGGGAGAATTCCATGTATATCTATGGGTCTCCTGTTAAGATCAGTTTTGATTGGTGGAAAGAGATACTGTCTTTCATTCACTGTGGTCTCTGCTGTTCTTTAACCCAGACATAATATAAAATCTATACAAGAAGCAGTAATATACAGTATGTATTCATGGCTAGTGGAGGTCAGGTACATCTACTTTGGATAATAAAGTAGTTTCCTTTAACATTTGCAGATCAAAATAACTTAGATACTCATATGTCTGTGAACTGTGGAACCTTTTATCCTTAATGACACAGGTGCTGAGGAATAGATTTGATGTTTGTATTTCTAAACTATTTTTCAGTTTCTTTAAGTGCCAGCTTGATTCCCAGCATAAAAATCAGGAGACGTAGTAAGGGGAAATAAAGATGTGTAAAGAATTCATGTCTCAGTTAAGTGAGTTTAGTAGTGAAGTGAATAATCAGGCAGGGGCACAGATAATGTGAGGCTCAGACCCTGAGACAAGGGTTTGCCTGCTAGAAGTATACTCAGGAGATGGAGGGAACACTACCAAGGAAGGAGGAAGTAGGGAAGAGAGGTAGGGGAGGGAACACTACTAACACCGTTCTCAAGCCACCTCCTGTAGTGGGTGGGTCACTAGAGCTGTCCCCTTAGGAAAACTTTGGGAAAAGAGTCAAGAGCACTCAGAATTACCCCACTTGGAGGGAAAGGAAATGGGGCATTTAAATGCCGATTCCTGGGTCATTGGTTGAGGTCTGTTCCATCTGTGGACAGCGCAGAGGTTCTCAGGCACAGAGATGCAGATTCCTACAGCCGGAAGTGGGCTGGAGAACACTTGAGAATCTGAAGGGAGCAGCAGGGCACCGCTGCAGAAAACCACACCCTCTGAAATACAGTCGTAGTTGTAAATTATATTGAGTATGTGTCGCTTGGAGGTGAAGAGTTGATAATGGCCTTTTCTCATGTTTGCAGGATTGTCATGTTGAAGCAAACAGACTTACTGATTTACTGTGTGTAATAAATAAGAAACTAAAATCAGTATGTGGAAGTGATAGGATATCCTTGAACAGTTTGCTATTTTCAGAGGATAGCTCATTTAGTTGAAGTACTAGAGATGTTTCTTATTAAAAGCCTGCATGATTTTGCTAAAAGGAAGGTTGGTTGTTGGTTTTGTCAGGGGATGTTGAACCCCAGCTTTGAAAATTCTGTGATAAGCTTGGGTCAGAATTTTTGTTTTGATATACTTTAAGTTTGAAATCTGTTCCATTTGGACTTCATTTTCTATATGAATATTTTCTGTTCTTCGGGTGATTAATAAGTAAAGTGACTTTATATATTCTGGTTTGCTTGGGACAGTGCTGGTTTGTGTCTCTTGCCCTGGCAGTGATTATTTATAGCATTATAAATACTTTGTTAGACTTTAAGGATTAAACATTTTTCAAAATGATAGATGTCCAAACTTAATACTAGTTCAAAAAAGAATCTAGGTATTAGTATATACAACCTGTTGGTTTATCTTAGTTCTTCCATATCCCTGTTATTCTTTTGATTTCGTGATTATTTTCTTTCATTCTTTTGAACAGAAGGCAGACGGTAACAAGCACTCCTTGCTGGATTGAACTTCATCTGAATGGACCTCTGCAGTGGTTGGACAAAGTATTAACTCAGATGGGATCCCCTTCAGTACGTTGCTCAAGCATGTCATAAAGCTTCATCACCAATCAAGTCCCATCAAAAGACTTAATATACCAACTCTTCTGTCATAGTATTTGTGTGTGGTCCCTGTGGACTGTTTACTATCCAAAAATTCAAGAGAAAACAGCACTTGAGGTCTCATCAATTAAAGCACCTTGTGGAATTGGTTTCCTATGTTCGAATATTAGATGGGAAAATTAATGTCTAGAAATACTCTCCCGTAAAGGAGGAAGAGAAGATTTTAAAGACTTACTGATGTCTTGTTGGGCATAAAACTGAGTGTCCCAAAGGTTTATTAATAACAGTAGTAGTTATGTGTACAGGTAATGTATCATGATCCAGTATCACAGTATTGTGCTGTTTATACACATTTTTAGTTTGCATAAATTAGGCGTGTGTGTGCTGCTTCTTGATTTAGGCAAGCCTTTATAAAGTTACAGTACCTAATCTGTTATTCCCACTTCTTTGTTATTTTTGTGTGTCTTTTTTAATATATAATATATATCAAGATTTTCAAATTATCATTTAGAAGCAGATTTCCCTTGTAGAAAAACTAATTTTTCTGCCTTTTACCAAAAATAAACTCTTGGGGGAAGAAAAGTGGATTAACTTTTGAAATCCTTGACCTTAATGTGTTCAGTGGGTCTTAAATATTCATTCTTTCTGTGTTTGTTTACTTACTGCCTAATCTTATTATAAGGAAACTTTATGGAAATCTTTCTAAACCTCTCCTCCATTTCTACTTTTCCACCAAAACAGTGTAGCATGGCATCCATCACCATCAATGATTGCACTGATACTGCCAGCACCAGTTAATTCTGGGTACAATGAGAATTCATATGGAGTAAGTCCCTTTGTCTTACACCAAATTTCAGTTTCAACAGGTAATAATAGACTTATGTAACCTGGCAGTCTTTTGATTTATCTTTACACCTCATAAAAAATGCACAGGTGGCAGTATAATTATTTTCAGGGATATGCTGCAATTATTTCGATATATTTATCCTTTCTGAAAATTCAATCTATAAATATAAACACTCTTTTTTAAAAGATACTTTCAAATATTTCAGTAGCAAACCTAGTGCTCTTTTGAATTGAATTTCATTGGATTTAATTACCAGATTGTCTTATGAAATGGACCTTTTGTAAATCTAATTGCTTTGGCAGAATACCTAGAAAAGTAATGCTGAGGTCTGATCAGCAGATAGGGGCCATCTGTTTTTAAGGTATGTTGTATTAAATTTATAAAATCTATTTTATTTTACATAATTATGAATTCTGAATTGTAAAATTCGGGGGAGAAGCCGTTTAGCAAGTTTTTTATCTTGTGAATACCTGTGGTCTGAGCTGTTCTTAACTAATGCTGAATATGTGGTGACTTAGAAGCCACCGTACTTCAAGCTCTGCAGGGACAGGCATGACCAGAGGTGTCAAAAGCTCTGTTGAAAGTCGACAGCAGATAATCCTTATTTTATCTAGTTTATTGTTAACTCATTCCAGTTTAAACTTTTCTTGTTTGCATCTCAATAGGAACAGCCAGTAACCACTCCCTAGTCCCCTTCTAGTAAGTTTTCATATTTTTAAAGACAGATTATCTTTGGTTGGTACTTGTGTTTTAAAACCATGTTCACCTGTATGTACAGGTGTTTATTTTCAATACTTTCAGCATTTGATTGTTTTCTGTCAGATATTGCCCGTTTTCCTATGTTTGTGTATGCATGTATATGTTCATGTAAACTTCGTAGAGTGATTTTTCGCTCTACAGATATTTATTGTTCACCTGTTACGTGTGCCAGGAACTTTCTTAGCCTTTGGGTAAAGGTGAACAAGACAGCTATGGCCCTTGCCTTTGCACAGATAGCAGTTACTCTAACACTTAACTAGCGTATTGTCTATGAAGGAGATATAAACAGGGTACTGTGATAGAGCAAAGCAGAGGGAAAGCTTCTGTAAAGAAGTGATGCGTGAGGAAGGAGCCAGCCATGTGGAGAGCCAGGGAAAAATAGGCTTTCTCTGCAAAGAAAATTGCATCAAATGCAAAGGCGTACTTTAAAGGAAACTCATCATTTATTAGGTGTTTATGCTTTATACAAAAACCTCTTCACAGATCCAAACTTGAGGATCAGATTGGTTCTACAATTTATAATAGTTGAAGGTGGCCTTATTTTGTAATGGACTGCTTCATGTGTCATTCTTGTTAGTATTTCCTCTTCAAGTCCTTACTATAAAGAGTTTGTACCAGGTCACTGCCATTTAATGGAACAACCCTTTCTTTAATTCTGCCTTGGGCAAATTTCACCATTGTAGCAACTGACTGCTTGCTTCCAGACGTCCTGCTGCCCACTGATTACTGCTTGTCCAGCCTGTCTTGTGGATGGTATAAATGTCCCAGGTATCACCACCGTCAGACCTGTTGAAAGTGTGGAGGTTCTGCCCTTTGCACTTGAGAGGTTGTGTGATGTTAGGGAATACTGTTCTTTGTCTGGGGTCAAAGAACGACTCAAAATGGTAGAAACTCCTGGCTGTTACTTTTGCATTGACATGTTAAGCAAAGCAGTACCATCTGTAGCATTTCAGTGATGGATCACATCTCTACAGTTACGGTGGGATTCTTCTGTACAGTATGAAGCTGGGACTCAACTCTTTGGAAGCACCTATTGTTTTCAGTAGTTAGACCAGTCAAGCAGTTGACTTGATGGTGGTGGTGGTTACATTTGTATGAATATGTTCAGTGGTCTTAATTTGCTTTTTAATGAGATGTTGGGTTTGCATTTTGTTTTTCCACTGTGGCCTAATTTTTGCTGATTATTTTTTTCTTTATAGGGTTTGTTTTCGTTCTTCTAAGTGATAAGATCTCTCTGTAGAATTTTATCTTTATTTAAATTAGCAACATCATTAAGAATTTTTTCTACACAGTGCTGGTAATGTCCTCAGTTTAACAACATGAGAACTGAAGGATCATGCTTTCTATCACATTTCCAAAATAAATGGGGGTTCTCACACTGGATTACATACACCTTAGGGCTGGTTTAGGGAATTGGTGGCTGGGATGTTCCCACTGACTTTGGCCTGGCTGGCCAGTGGCAGCTTCATTTTTATTCTGTATTGGAGTTCTACATAGATTTCTTTTTTTTAAAGTTTCGCTGCTTAAAAAAAGTTTGCTTTCCTGACTGGGTTTGAACTACACCATACTAACTAACTGTAATTGTACATTATGATATACATTTATTCAGTGGGCACTTAACTGGTGCCTGTTCTTTGCCCAGCCAGTGTGATGGATGCTGAGTGGTAAGATGACCAGGGCTTGGTACTGAGTCTTAGTCTTGTGGGGGTTTCTTTCTCCCTCAGGACCCGTCACTTTGTCAGAAGAAAACCTGCCTAATTTTTCTTGAAAGCTTAATACTCTTGTTCTGTGCTCTTATGCTGTATTCTGAATATATACTTGCAAGTTGTTAGTATCTAAAGGTTTTTTAAAACCTTAAATCATATTTAAGGTTTTTGCTTATTACTTCATCTGTTCTTTAGACATTGCCAGATTTTCTCCTTTGTTAAAATTATTTTAATTTCACTTTATTTGTGCCTTTATTGTCAGTTTCATCAAGACTAAGATTTTGAAGGTGGAAAACAATCCGTCTAGTCTCTTGCTAGTTCAAATCAAATAAAAGAGAACATGTACACAGTTGGTTTCTCTACCTCTTCCAAAAACTGTCCAAATATATCTTTAACATCCTTTTTTAAAAAAAAAATACTTTGAGCATTTATTCAGTAATCAGCACCTTCCTGGTCTGGTTGATGGTGGTATGTAATATAACGCAAGACAATCCTCACTGTTCTTAACATCTGTCTTTATGTACAGTCCTGACTTTCATAGCTGAATGGTTCTGAATCACAGATTGCTGCCCCTCCACCATTCCCCCAGTATCTCTTTAGATAATTAAGTAGTCTGTGGACGTAAGCAACCCATGATCTTGTCTCTTACTCTGGTGCAGCGCATTGAGATTTAGACATAACAATTTACTGACTATTTTCTTTCCTTCATGAACTCTGTTTTACTGAGCCCTTTTTATTCATCAGCTGAATTTCTTTCTTTCTCCCTTCTCTTGACAGCACGTATCCCTAGTGGTTTTGCTGATTGCCCCCTTCCTTTCCAACCATGTTTTATCTGCATACATCAGAGTGTTTCTCTCCTTTGAACTTTACTAAAGACCAAAAAGGATGGTGCTGTTCATACCCAGGGTCCTAACTTTTTTCACCACGAAGGTTGATGTTCAGATTAGCTAAGTCACTTATAAATGGTTCAGAAATTCTATCCAGTTTAAATGTGTATGTGTGTGTAAGATGATCAAATAGCATGAATCATCACATTCTGTTTAAATTGTGTTTAGGATTATGAACTTTCCCAGCAGTTGCAGCCAATAATTTCCCCATAATACCAGCCCAGTTTCCAACTTGGAGCATATTGAGTTGTTGTATGTAGTACAATCAAGTGTAATGACGATAGTGTGTGATGTCCAGAGGTTGTCAGAATTCTGCTGAGTTCTTTTTACTATCTTCCATTTCAAAGTTTTTATAAATATTTTGTCTGTTCAGACTACCTTTTGTGGGGATCAAGGGACAAATTTTCTCTTGGGAGTGGAATTCCTGTGTTGGGAGCCTCGACCAGGAAATGTGAGCTATACGAGATACAGATAGCCTCATGATCGCTTTTATGATAAGTTGTCTGATGTGTTCACATAATTTTTTGGGTAGGAACTGTTTTCTCTTGGATATTATAGCTAACTTTATATATAGCATAAACTGCCTTAAGTCTTTTTAGTAGGGAATAAATTATATAATGTGTATGTATGGATTTATATATACATATACACTCATATAAAAATCTTAACAGTAGGGGTTGTTTGCACACATTTTAACAGTGTTCAATGATTTTATTGTTTAGATCTCAGTAAAAAATTCTAAGTTGCTTGCAGACATCTTCCTTTCATGGACCGACCATCAGGGTAAATTTTTTATTCTGCTAGTGTCCTAATTTCGTGGTTCTGTTAGTATGCCATTTTTAGGCAGCTTGGCAATTAAGAATCAGAACTGAAACTGACATCAAAAAGAAGCTCTGAGTGGTCTCTGTGGAAGGTACTGACTTAAGATTACATTTAAAAACTTTCTTAATAGTAATGTTAGGTTGTGTGCCCCCTGCCCCTACGCTTTTTTCCCCCTGGCATAACTGCTGCTTTAGATAACCTGGGAAGTACCACTACCAAGTCAAGTTTTCCTGTAATTAAGGATAGCCTAAAGATGACTTTCTTAGCTGTGCTCAACAGAAATGAATTTTCCAAAATTCTTTGGGTCATTTCTGATTTACGGAGGATCTGACCAGAGTGTATTATTAGCCTGAGTTAACTTCAGTGTCAGTTGGTTTGCTGCCATGAGATCCATAATAGACCCAGATTTTCACTGTTGGTTGAGATGTAAGGGCCCTTTGAAAGAATAATGCCGCTGAAGAGGAAGTGAGTATTCATTAACTCCACACAAAGGACTTTTAGATTTTTCTTCCTGCACTCCTGATAATATTCTTCTACCCTCTTTTAAAAAAAAAACAAAACAAAAAACCTCTTACTGTCCCCAGAATTTCTAGTCTGCTCTTTTACAAGGTTGGGGGTGGGTGGGTGGGGTAGTGGGAAGGGTTTTACTTTCTCTTCTGATTAAAGATGCTTATTTATTCATGAACCGTGAAATTCATAATATATTGATTTAAGGACAGAAGTGAAGTTTTAGAATTGTAAAAATACTTAACTATTATATATTTTTCATTTCACACTTGACTGTTTTTTTCTCCCTGTGGCTTTAAAGTTTTTGGCTGTTTTTCAGTGTTAGTCTCTAGGTAATTTGCTGTATTTCTGGTTCTGTATGAAGTCCTACCGTTTACACTGCTGTGGCATAAAGTTGGTTCTCAGCATAGAAGTCTTCCTAAAGTCTTTTTCTTCCAAAGAGATTTTCCTTTCTCAATAATTCCTAAGATGATACTTGTTTGTCACTTTATTCACATTCTTGGATTGTTCAAACAAAAAAAAAATTGTTGGTGAAAAAGATTAGGGTCCTTTTCTGATGAATGTATGTACCTGCATTAAGAATGTAGTCATTTGTCAGTTTTATGTAACTAGTATACACACAGATTAAATCAGGAGAAAGAATTATCTCTTACATAGCATGTAGGTCACATGCATGGATTTTACATTTTTTAAAAATGCCCTATTTTTTTGGCAAACTGTAGAACCCAAAATGGTCATTTCTTAGACCAGCTTTACCTCAGGCTTCATTTTTGCTGTTTGACCTTGGGCCTTTAAGGCATAAATATTTATATCTTTTTATTACTGATAGTGAAACTGTGACACAAACCATTTCTGTAATACAAGACGGCAAAACAAGAAAAACTATAAAGATTAAGATGAAAGCAGTTGTGCAGTTGTCGAGCTCGATCATAGCGTTATAGGCAAAATAAAAATGTGCCTATCTGAGAATATTTTTTTTGCCGTCTCTCCCCAAGGCCAGACCTTCTGGTAGAGCACAGTTAAAAGTAACATAATTCTGGGCCTTTATAATCTGAGGGAAATGGCTCCAGTTGGCAGTCTTCTTGTTAACATATGAAGCCAGAATGTGGGAAATAGTTGGCAAAGAGTATTTTCACCCAAAAAAAAGAATATGAAAAGATATAAAACTGGATTATTCATTCCGCTCTGAAAAATCTCAAAAAGATAGAGTAAAATACTATATAACTGGACAAAACCTGAAGAACCTTTAGAGGATTTATGTGAAAACGGGCTTCAAGGATGAACTGTTACATGCTCACCAGTTTCTTTAGGTTTGATCCACCTGTTCTTAAAGTAAGGTATTTGTGGACTTCTAGGAACTAGCGATTAGCAGGTGTCCTAAAAAGACTTTTGAGCTGATTCCCTCATAAGTAGCCCTATATGCTCTTGAAGATTCTGACCCTTCCTCTAGAGACCCTAAGGGAGGAATGAGTATGCTCTTAGGGTGGCGACCTGCCCTGGCATGCCTGGGACTGAGGTGATCCCCTTGGATGCAAGACTTTGTGAGTGCTAAACCCAGGAAAGCCCAGGCCCACACAGCAAGGAGGGGCTGATAGCCCTGGCTGTTGCTGTGACTTAACCTCACCTTAAACATTGTACTAGTTTCAGTTAAGTTCACCTGCCTTATGGCACGTGTCCTCCGGTCACTTATTACTGTGGATGGGATGTGAGATTTATGACAAATAATAGCCAATGGCACCAATGTGCTCTTGGCAGTGAGACTAACAGTAATCCAGGGAAGATACCAGTGGTTGAATGAAAGGAAAGAGGCAACTAGACAGTGAAGTTCTTCAGAACCTGTGTGTATATGTAAGTACAGATCATGTCTTTATGGGGTTAAATTATTATATCTGAAATTTAAATTCTCATGGTAAAAGAAAACTGAGGAGCGTGGGTCTTTTCTCTCGAGGAAAAGATACGGCCTTTGATGCTCTATCTTCTACTGCATTCCCCAGACTGTCCTGCTCAAGAAGCCAGAATGTGGCATTATTATGTTTATTCTCAGTGAATGTCGTATTGCGATTACTAAATGCATCAGCCAATGGCAGATCAAGGAACTGGTGTCCTGATCCACACTGAGCAGCGCCCTCAGGTGCTTACCAGCTACGACACCGACCACGGGAGGCAGGACTCCTCTAAGACGGCGTTGATTTTGTAATGCAATATGAAGGGTGCAGAGTCTGTTCTTGTTCCCCTGTGGCAGTCTGCAGACTGCATCCTCTCTGTGCACTGTGATGTAGACGGTAGATGTGTTCTTTGTAAGCTTTAATCTTATGATTGTCAGAAGTATGATGTTCCATTTTTTTAACATTAAACAGTGAGCTGAGGCTTTATTTCAGCTGGTTTTCAAGTTAAAGTTGTGAAATACTGATTTCCTTCCCTCCACCCACACCAAATACTTTAGTCTATTTAAAGTACAAAAAAAAAAAAATAGTTCTACTTAAGAAAACACTGCTTAAATGTCCTGTGATTTCTGGTCCAATTTTATATATTTGTGTGTGTCTGTATGTGGTTTCACTTTTTATCTTGTTGGCTCTCTACCTGTGTTAACAGTACTGTCACCATTGAAAGGTGAACATTTTTCCTAGCATTAAAAAAAAGCCATTTGAGTTGTTTACCATGTTATTATGGGACTAATTTTTTTATTGTTTTCATTGATCTTGATCTAAACTGATTTTTTTTAAGAGGGGATTATATTTTGCTGACCACACTCTAAATGATATGGAAACAAAAAGTTTTTTGTGTGTATCTCACATAATGGAATTATGCTATTGAGTGCCTCTTTTTATTTTTTAAGTTTGGTGTGTTATATGAAAAGTTTATCCCACTCCCCTGGCAGACAGATATACACTGCTTGGTGTACACGCACACAGCACATACCTCACAGAGCTAGTTGATTAGGCATTTTAGTTTATTTCAGAGCTTTCCTGTGCCAAACTAACGATCTGATACACACGATTGTTCAGTGAACAACAGACTAGAAGGTGAAATTCACATTAACCTTCAAAATGTACTCTTAGCAAAAAAAGCAATTGGTATTTTTAAAAGACTTCATTGAAAAATAGTATATAATACATACTCATAATTGTATCATTGTTATGAAATAATTGAGAAACAAACTTTTTACATCAACCAGACTTTCTTTGTGCCTTGCGAGAGCTCAGTTCCTAGGATGAATCAATACTTCTGAATCGTTAGCAGGCTGTTTACTTCAGACCATTTAAGACGCTTACTTTAGGATGCTTCAAAAAGGACTTCAAAAGCTAAAATGCACTATGCTACTTGGTACTGAACAACCCAGAGACTAGCTTGATTTTGTTAACAATTTTGTATTGGTAGGAAACCTACTTAAATCCTGCCTAAATTAGCTACACCAGACAGCTCTATTAATCTAAAAGGAGCCATTGATTTTCAGCATGACTTCAGTTGACAGGTGACTAAAACAGATCCTTTTCCTGTCGTCACTTCACCCTGGGAACATTCCTGTGTGTTAACCTACTGATAGTGATGCTGGTTATCTGCACCATGAGATTTTTAGGACAAACCCCTGTGTCCATAATTGCACGTATTCAGTGGGCCGAAGAGTACGAGAGAAGTATTGTTTGCATCTTTGGACTTTACCTGCATTTGGCAAATGCTTTTATCCCACTTGCTTCAAAATAGATGGAAAGTCCCAGTGTGGGAAGCACGCCTATTAATACCAAACAAATGTATTTCGATGCACTCCTTCTCGGCACCAGGTGTGCCCAGGAACTAGAGTGAAGACCACGTTCATCTACTGCTCAAGAATATATTTATACCATGCAGTTGTCCAGCTTCTTTTTAACACACTCTCATCCTTTTCATCAAAGTAATACAAGATAAGCCCAACCTAAAAATTAGAAATTTGCCAATGTAAGAAAACAGCATACTTAAAAGCTGTTTGCTGCTGCAGTGAGTAGATACCGAGATGCTAGTTTGCATTCTTAAAGTCAACCACATTAGTTGAGGGCAAGAACATTGACTCAGACTTACAGGTAGTAAGTTTGTGATAAGACCGCATGATCTTTGGGGAGGTGCAAGACAACACAGAGTAAATTACTGTGTCCCAGTCTTCGGTCCAAGCTACATGACTTTGTTACAGAATAAATTGAGTGTGGGATACGTATCTGCCATAGATTTTACAATCTTGCAATTGTTTTGTTGGCTGCCTTTGCACCTATTAATACCTAATAAGGTTGCTTTAAAAGTGGTTTAGGAAAGAGATAACATCACAAAGAGATGGAGAGGAATTTTGGGGCCAGTCAGAATGAGGTCTTGGAACAGAACTTGTGAATCTGAATGTGCATGAAAGCTGGACAACTACTGAGCTCCTATGTGTGGTGAGCAGGAAGCCGACAGCCACAAGCTGAGTGGGAGCTACTGCAAAGCCCACACCTAATAATAGAACCTCGATAGCTAGGAGTAAAAGCCATAGCTAGCTCTACACCTTGGGTCTCACTCTGTATAGAGGTTGTGCTACTGAGCTGGCTGACTTGAGGACGTTAGTACACCAGCCATAGCCCCAGCCCAGGGTGGAGTGCTTGTTTGGGGAAGGGGGGACTTAAACATGTACATATACATGTGTGTGAGCGAAATTTAACACTTTCCTCAGCTGGAGAGGATCCTAGAGAGCCCTCTGAGGTTTTATGCAGAATTTTGTGTATATATCATATGCAGACCTTCATGGTGAGAAGTGGCCCTCATCAGGCCTTACCCACTGCCCAACAGCGATTCCATTGAGACCACCCATCTTGAGCTTAGAATTAACTCTGATTTTAAATCTTGTTTAAGGGTTTTTTTCTTGAGAGATCTTGACTCTTAAGTGATACTAATTTCTTCTTGGCAGTATTTGATCACAGTATTTTAAATATAGATGCTATGTAAATAAGATTTTAATATAATTGATGACTCACTTTGAAATAGTTTTCATTTTTGAAGTATGTTTAGGCTGCAGTGGAAAAAAATAATTTTCACACACCCAGCTTAACATCTGGAATCAAAAGTATTCTAGGTTGCCTTTTTATTGGGTTGGCCCAAAAGTTCATTCAGGTTTTCTTTTAAGATAATGTATTGAAAATATTTTTACATTGAAAAAAATAGATTAGAGTCTTTGTTTTACACAAAAACCACAAGCTACTTTATTCCAACTTTTAAATCAAGATCTTGAATAATAGCATGTGGTATCACCACATTTTAAAAATGTACTTAGTCAATCACAAACACATTTTCTAAGGAATTGAATTTTATAGAGATAATTGAATGCTTTCATCTGTAACAGAATTAGTGGCCTACAAACCACTGTGGTTTCTTGCTTTGTTCTGAAGTTGTTAAAGGGGGAATTTTCTGCTCCAAGTTATATGCATAAAGGAAGTACGATGCAAAGTAAAATTCAATTTTAAATTCTAAAGCAACAACCACTGACAAAATGTCCTCTTAAAAGTTTAACTACTTTTTTAACTAAGCAGCTGTTTTCTTGTCTTTTATCATCCCAGTATCTAGGTGCTTATCAAATATATTAGTAAAATCAAGCTAAACTAAATTTGAAATAAAATTTCTAGTAATGTCTGTGACTTTCATTCACCAAAATGTTACTTAATTCTCTGTTCTGCTTCCTCCTATTTCCAGCCCACCCTTAAAAACTTCTGCAATTAAAGTAACCCTAGAAAACTGCCTTATCTTAGAACATTTCATTGGATTAAGAGCCAAAATCACAAAAGGGAGAGATGTCTGAGAGTCTGATTTGTTATTACATCTTTCAGAAGATCACCTTTAAAATGGACACATATTTCATATATCCTCTTTTAATTTATATTTTCACTGGTATTTCACTCTATTGCCACCAAGGAGCAGCTAATCTTCACATTTACCATTTGCATAATTAGTGATTGGCCGAAGAGGAGTATTGAAGATAAAATCTAAGATGAGAAATGGTGGGAGATTTATATAATTTAGTCTCTCTTGGTTGTCTGGCTCTTTCTCAACTGTGAATAGCAATGTTTCAAAAGACATTTAAGCAACAAGGTGCTAAGGGTGGAATGCTTGAAGAAAACAACCCTGTAATGGTCAACTACTTCAGTTATCTTGAATAATGAAATAAAACTCAGTTGCCTTTTTAAACAAACTTTTTCTGTCTTGAATGACTTTGGACAGAATAACATTCTGCTCGTTGTAAGCCTTGGTTATCTTTTCTGATGTAATGGAAAATACAGCTGAACTCAATCAGAGGTCTTGGGTTTGGGCCTTGATTCTGCCAGTTTGTGGTAACTTTAGATAATTTCATCAGTTTGCTTCAAGTTCCTCCTTTCCTTCAATCTTCCAAAATGAGGAAGTTGCTGTTCAGGGTGGTTAGGAGGATCACCCAGAAGAGGAGCTCAGTGCTGGAGGACTGAATCCACAGTCTGTGGAGCCTCAGGAGGTGGTGGCAGGCAAGCAGGTCTTTGCCACCAAACCTGTCTCAGAGAAGCTGCGCGAGATCCCGTACCAAGAGATGACGAGTCATGGGAGCAGTTCTCTGTTGCCGCAGGAGTAATGCACAGCAGCCCTAAAAGCCCGGTGGCATGCAGTTACACACATGCAGTCTACAAGTTAGGTAGGTCAGCGATTTAGACAGGGCATCTCTGGTTTGCCTGGCTCGCTTGACTCAGCCCTTCTCTGCGTGTCATCCTGCATCCCAGGTGTGTTTTCATGAGGGGGCGGGGGGGGCTCAGCCCCACAAGCCACTTTGCAGTCCCCTGCCTCCCTGCCGACTTCCCCAGAAGGGAGCCCCCGGCTCAGCTCAGCCTGGAAAGGCGCCACGGAGGAGGAGGAGGAGGAGGGTATCTGGAGGTGTGAATCAGGCCCGGAGGCCATCCGTGCAGCAGGCGCAGGCTTTGTATTGCCAGTGAGAAGTAGGAGATGATGGTCCCACGCTGGGATCTGTTCAGCTCACCTGTATTCACTCCACGGAGCATTCAGTAGAAACCTGTTCTAACACACACCGTGAAGGTGAGTTAAAACCAAAGCCATGTAATTTCTGTCTACTCTAGGTTCTTAATTGCCGTTGTCCCTGGCCATCATCACATGACAGAATGTTACGTGATTCACGCCACTTTCAAAACCTTGCTGGGACTTCTTATGTGCAAAGGAGCGGTTTGCCTCTTGTGCCTCACACTGGCCCTTTCTGGAGACCTGGCATGCTTTAGGAAAGCTTCACCAGTAAGAACGAAGGATCACAGTATGTCGTAACTCTGACACACATTTTTAAAAGAAGGAAACACTGCAATTATCTGTGTCCTCTTGATCACAAATATTGCAGTTGTCTGGAGAGTCTGAGTCTCTGCTGTTGAGGAGCTTGGGAAGTGAGCATTTATTTCTCTGTGACACAGCCCAGCTTGGTAGCCCCTGAAAGTGGAGTTGACGTTTTAGCCTTCAACTTTGTGTGCCCCTGTTTCCTTACCGTATGTCTCAGGAGACTGGGTATTTCTCCTCGAGCACAGATTTGAACGAGCTCCCCACACTTCCCTTTAATGGTCACTACTACTGTTGATGATCACGTTCATGAAAATACACGAAAATATTTTGTGGACTTTTATTGGAAGCATAGAGATGGAGCTCCTTTCATTTAACTTTATAATAAATACCCATTATTTTTGTAAAATACAAAAACACCAGCAAAAAAAAAAGTCACCCACCCAGATAAAAACCAGAGAAAACCACTGCATGGTGTCATTTTTTCCCTCTCCTCCTTACTTTGGATATATGTATTTTTAACAGGAAATGTTTGAAGCATCTCCAGCAACACATTTAGTTAGAGGAAGCTATTACAAATCATAAGAAAAATCTCTAAAATGCATTAAGCAAGCCATAATTGACATGTATTTTTTTAACTTGCTTTGAGCAACACAAAAATTTGCTGTTTGACAGATTTTAGACAATTCATGCATTTTTTTAATGTGCCTCACCTTGACTATTTACTTTGGCTGGTGTATTTGGAACCAAACGTTTCTTTGTCATGTCTGTTGCAAGCGTCCTAAAATAAAAGTGTGCAGTGGAACCAAGGAATTTTATTCATCAACTAGCATTGTGTTTAGATATAATAAACATAGAAAGTGTATTGGACATACATATTAAACATGCCACGCTAATCTATTAGTAATATTACAGTAAACCATGTGATTACTTTCTTGTTCATGTTTTGGTAAATCATTGAGGCAGTTATTAGGTGAAGTTCTGTCTTTTCTTATTTTCCAATTTAAAAATGTATTATCCAAAAGTATATATTTTACATACAATCCAAAACTGTCATGCCTTGCTATTTTTTTAAAAAAGCTACACACTTATATAAGGATATTTTTTTTTCATGAAAAAAAAATCAAAACTTCTGAACAATACGTAGATATGGTTAAAAAAAAAAAAAGAATTTCCTTCCATTCCAATCCACTTCCACAGCCCACCCTGAAAAAATCCTTTGGTATTTTTGTCTTTGCTAAACATGGACTAGGAGCTAAAATTTGCAAGGAAAGTTGATCTTATCTCCAGGTTCTAAGAGGCCCCGAGCTGAGAGGTGCCTTTACTGTCCCTTGGGTGTCCCTCCTGCTAGCACCACGTGATGCTCCAGAATTTTCCTTCTCACCACCAGTTCCTTCACCTCCCCTCCTCAGTCCAATGGCAGAGGAATACTTGTCTTATGTCAAAACTAAGCCATGGGCTCAGAGCCCAGCTGGTTCTGTGTGGCTTCTCTAGAGGGCTTCCAATCAGTTATTCCTTCTCAGATTTTCAATTCTCAGTCACCGTTTGCCCCTTCCTACAGCCTGTACATACTCAGTAACTCCCACTCTAAAAGACAACAGGAAAGTGCAGACAAATGTCCTTGCAACCCTGTTAGGACTCTGTCCCGCTGTTCCCAGCCACGTGTGTTGAGATCCATTTGTACCAGCCACCCTTGATCTTCCATCCTACCCTCTTACCAAAGTCACCTTTCTGTTCCACTTGCCCCTGGATCCTGCATTTGTCTTTTCCCTTTGACTGGGAGGAAGCTGCGTCCTGTCCAAGGCTAATTCTTGAATTAATATCAGGGTTTCGATGACCAGTTTCCCAAATGGAGTCACAAGGAGAGCTTTTAAAATGCAGCTTCCCTGGCCTCCCCTGAGGAATCTTGACTTAGCAGGTCTGGAAAGGAGCGTGGGAGCTGCATTTCAGAAAGCCCGAAGTGATGGTCAGCGAGCAAACCCCGGCTTTAGACCGTGTTCCCTGTGGGCTTTCAGACTTGCCCTGTCCGTGCCATTCTCCTTTCCCACCTCCCACACATTGCATCTCATACCATGCAAAAGAAAGTCGCACTTTCTTCATTTCATATCATTAATTTAAAATTCCTCGTGAGCCCCATCTAGCTTTATTTAGGAGGGTGTGGGAAGTGGGAAATGACCTTACACTTGCCAATCAAAGATAACTCATTCTCTTATTCTTGAGCATCTAACTGCCTCTTTGGAATAAATGCTCAGCTTTTCGAGGCATCTTCCAATTTTCCTCCTTGAGGTGGCTTTAGCAGGTGGGGGAGTAGAAGTCATCTCTGGGTGACAGGGGAAGCGGTTCCGCAGTGCATGCGCTCAGCTCCTTGGGCAGTCTTGCCGCCGGTGAGCCCTCCTGCTGTCTCTGTTCAGTGGCTGTTGCCCTCACTGAATCTGCTGGTGCCTGTGAGTGACTCTGTGGCTTTTGTCCACATGTTGGTATGTCCCGTTCATGACCCCAGTCTGCTGTTGCCTTTGGTTTCAAGGTCTCCATTGTTCAACAGCCTTCATTTTCCAGCCTTAGGACTGTTCATCTGGTTGACTCTTGGGAAAGGAGGAGATTGGAACTTTGGGATGTCCTGAGCATCTTGTTCAAGTTTGGGCAGCCAACAGGCTATTATCACACTCCCTGGTCTGTTCCCTCTGCCAGTCCTGAGCTCGTGCCTCCAAGCGGTGCTGTGTTGCATATGTCTCTGAGTCATAAGAAGGACTTCTCTGAGTGGCTCACCAGGTTACGCCTAGGAAAGTGGTCCTCTCACCCATCATGCTATTTTGGTCTCACTCTCCATCCTCATCCTGCCTCCTCCACACACACACGAGTTTTAACTCTGAGAGGAAGGAAGGTGAAGTTCCGGGCATTATTTCTTTACAACCTACTCTTCCTTTCTGAATCCTCCTCTGTCCCTGCCCTAGGAGTCATTCCACTTTCTCCCAAATGAAATGACTCTCCTTACTTCATATCGCGAATTCCCCCTATCTCTGTTCTAGAGAAAACTCCGCATTCAGTTGTCCAAGCTTTGCTTTTGGTATGTGAATGGAACTCTTGGAATTAAGATCTCCTTTTTCATTCTCAATAAAACCTGACATTCAAGACTCCTTATCTTCATCTTAGAGATGCTGGAGAACAGTAAAATAATAAAAAAGACTCTAAATGTCACAGTTACGGTACTAATCTAGTATATATCCTTTTCTGTCCTGCCATTGTTAAGCATCAGGGCCTAGCTTTAGTGGAAGACTGCAGGAGGAAGACTATAGGAGGAAGATGGATTCTTTTAATATCATCAAAGTGTTGGCTCTACATAGATGTTCTCACCCCAGACATGCTCTTTTTTTTTTTTTTTTTTTACGCTAACCACTCTTTTAATAGCACAGATTCATTTCCATTGTTTTAGTACCAGACATGCTCTTTCTGGCTTCCGTGTTTGCCTGTTCTGGTCCTAGTAACTTGAATGTCCTTCCCTTTTCGATCTGATATAACTCGAGTCATCCCTCAGTCTAGTTCACATCTCTTTGGACCTCTCTTCATTCGCTCCAAACTTCCTTGTCCTTCTAAGCATTCCCTCTGTCATTTGCCTCTACTGGTAGGAGAGCATTTATCATGTTATAATTAGGCCTAGGTACACTCAATTTCCTTGCTAAATCGTGAGCTCCTTTCTGCCTTGGAAAGCTCTCCAGCCTTCTCTCTGCACTTCCAAATTTATCCGTTCTTCTTGACCCAGTTTAAATTATCTCTCCTGTGTGAAGTCTTCCCTAACCACTGCTACTGAAAATTCCCTCCCACCATGGCAACAACTGGCAGTAGCGCTTGGAACCTCATGAGAATGTAGATACACAAGAACTCACATGGGAGCACATG